TGGCAATCCGTTGTAGCAATTTTAAATGTGTCCAAAAAACAAGAGTACTAATACAATGACCATATAGTACTGTATCAGCAACCAACAATACGGTAGTTTAATTTGAATTTTGAGCACGTTAATGTAGCGTAAGTGCTGTTACCAATGATTAGATGATTTTGTTAAGCAAGTTGTCAATCTGAAAAAAACCTTGCCGATTTGGGAATACTTGCTATTCGCAACGCGTGCTTAGATAGACAATTAAGCCACCAAGAGAGCAATTAAGCCACCAAAAAGTTAGAGACAATCTATAGCCCAACATTTTTTTTTCAAACTGCTTTTTTTCAATTTGCAAAAAAGCCCTGCCCGGATTCATTTTCTGGACCATTGTCTCAGTCATGCACGTCACCTCTTCGCCGTCTTTGTATCACGATACACTGAAGTTGAATTGCTTATGGATCAAGCTATCAATCGTTTCAGTGACTGTTATTCAAACTTTTAGCCTGAAAAGTTTGTTTGCTCTATGTTTTGATCTGATAATGCTTGCTTATCTCTGGTGTAAAAATTTTTGCAGGTAAATAAATTATAATTCAAGTGTTTCAGTCCCTTTTAAGCCCAGCTGCATTTAAATCTATTATCTCCATTCAAACGGCGCAATTTGACGCAACTAAATTGATTAAAGAAGTAGAAACTGTTAAAGTTGATAAATTGAAGTCTAACATAATTTTAAATGAAACCAAAAATAAAAACTTTGCGTAAAACGGCAATTAGAAACGCAAATATGCTCAAAAATTACTACAATACAAATTAATTACCGGAAAAGGAAACAATTATTTTCAAATTTGATTTTCAAAAATATTTTCAAGTAATAATATCAAAGCTAATTATGCAAAAGGGTCAATTCAAATATTATAATCAAATTGAAGAAACTATAGGCTACAACAAAAGAAATAGGCGAAAATCTGAATTTTATTATCGGATAATCGACTTACAAAAAAGTTGACGATTTTCGATGTGCGCAACATATGATACACAGATTGAGTCATAAAAAATACATTTCAAAAAATGAGAGCTACAGTTCAAACTATTGATATCAATTAATTCTTAGTTGAAATCCTTGTGATAATTGCGCACCAAAATAGGTCATCGTGAAAATGCCATTTTGAAAGTTAAAAAAATGTATAGGGAATCGGAAATCGGAAGGAAGAAGAGCTGAAAAACGATTTGAACTAGCTTCATTTATATCAAAGACTCCACCTGCTTTTCCTGCAATGTTTCTTACCGTAAAACGCGAAGAAACTTGTTTACGCCAGAAGGAAAAATTTAATTTTGTTGCGTTCTTTCCTCGGTGCTTGGAAGTTTTACGGTCAATAGCTCGTAAATTTATGACTCAAACCGTTAAAACAGGCGTAACATTTAAGTTGTTGAAGGGACTTACTCCCTCACACAGTGGTTAATCTTCTATAGGCAGGTCATTGGAATTGAATATTTGTAGCCATTCTCTTTATTGGAGAACTTTTGCCGCCATAAGCGGTACCACGGGGCAGCAGTGCAGAAGTCCTCGCCTGTTAATCGACAGGTCGGATGTTCGAGGCCCACCACCGTGATATGTACTCGTTGACTGAGGGCGATGCAACACTAAAAAAAATTACCCTGGGTGAACGAGGGGCGCAACAGCGTTTCTTCGTGAAGGGCTGAACAGCTCGTATGATTGTCCTTTCCCTGGAAGAAAAGTTATTTTTATCCATTATCGGCTCTTTCTGCGGCTCTTTTGACCCACCTGGTATGAACAATTATTGGTGTTTGACAAGGGGACGGGTCTGATCTACACAGTGAATTAAATAGTGAGCTGAATAAACAAAATGAAGTCAGTTTGGGGGTAAGCGAATTGCATCACAATTTGCTTGCCCTCAAATCGAACGAACAAAAAAATTAACTCCTGTAACAAAGTGTGATTTAATATTCGACTAAAAATTTTCTTCCAATTGGGTGCATTGCTGCTGCTTTGCTTGCTTATCTGTCTTTTATAATTGTCTATTACGTTCATTGTCTGGATCAGCTTGTCATTCACCCATTATTTTATGGTGCAAATAGTGGTTTAATAAATTTAAATATGAAGATTAAATGTTTGGAATAGCTTACTCGGCTCTCCCACAGTTCCCCACATCAGATAGAAACACCATTTTTACGGAGTAACTGTTAATTTTACGATGTTGTATATGAAGACAAAAACAAAGGAACTTAGCAGAATTGTAAGGCATTCCATTCAGTTCGAGAGCGTCAGATTGGGTATTCTATCCCTTGCCATAGCAATGATGAGTGAGGACGAGCTCTCGCATGTTTTTTTTACTTCAAGCCTGGTGCAGCCTGACCGGTTTTAGCTGCAAAAACTACCACAAAAAAGATCTGGACGCAAAAATGGCCCTCAGTCTCAAAACATAGCTTCACTAAACATATTAACTGAAGTATGGAATGTAGAGAAATAATAGAAATTAACTATGCTTATACAGGCTTGATAGCTTTTTATAGATCCTCTGCCTAACAATTTTATAAATTTCCCAAAAGACAAATTAAATAATTTAGTGCATAGATTAAGGGATGTCTTTATACTCGAAAACTGAATTTGTTCGATTTATTTTTAAGTCACAATACAAATATGACTATGGACTGATGTGGGGTGGGGTTGCTCGAACTGCATTCTTTCAGAAGATCAGGCGTTGTCTTCGCACAAAAATTTTGTACTATTCAAGTCTGAGTATGGGAACACAACGTTGGGTTGCTTCATTTTGCATCAATAGAACAGTCATATTTCGAGAATTTTGAAAAAATGTTTAAAAAGGAGGGAAGTTTTAACTGCCAAAAATTCCAGCGACATTACGGAACTACTTCTTCTAGTGGATGAACTACCTGTAAAATCTAAATTTTAATTTTTTGTTTTTGACTTGTTTTTTGAAAAAAAAACTTTCGAATTTTATGGACAAACAAATTGATTCAAAGCTCTTTGAAGTTCATGGATTATTTATGATAGGTAAGTTATTTAATCCGCTGGGAAATCTGAAAACTAAAATCCACTTTTCAAACTAGATTAATAAAAATAAACTTCAACCGTGAGGAATCAACATTGAGCGTGAACAAGTGAAGTGGACTTTTTACTTAAAAAAAGGAAAAAGGTTCCTTCACGTTCATTGACTCTTAGAAAACTGTAGGTGCGGGAGGGGAGACGGTAAAAAAAGGCGCTTACTCAATCAACATGCCAATTTTTATGGGACAATCCGACATCGTGAACAAAAAGTTTACGGGTAAAAGCAGGCTGAGGTGAAAGAACCCCGTTTCCTCAATGATCCAAATAACTCTTTGTGCCGGTTGACAGCCCAGCCCCTAAATGGGACTGCCTGTGATGCGTGAAATAAGATTCTTTTCAGCCTGCCTCAATTTCCCTTAAAACACTTGAACTCGGCGTGACATAACTAATGATCACGTTTCAAATGAATGGTGCTAATTTGCATTTCCTTTTCCAGTTCACTTCACACTCGAAAGACGACGTGCTTTTCAATGGATTAAATTTCAAGGTCAATCTGAGATAATCTTCAACAAGCAATTTCAATTTTATATCTTTATGAGCAATCAGCAGAAGTATTTACAATTTTTATGAATGAAATCGAATCAATGACCATTAAATGAAACGGAGCGTACTTGAGAGCAATACTGCCATCTAATAATCAAGTCGAGCAGAGGGGAAAATTGAGCTGAACTATAATTTTTGAATGTCAACATAAAATTAATGATTGGAATTTAACAGTTCAATACACGACTGAAAGTAATTTCACGCTTCAAATTCGATGCTTCAAGTTTCGACAATAGTTATGGCAAGAATTTATTACAAAAAATGAATTAGTTGCAGTCCAAAAAAAAAGAAATCGATGAGAATTTTGCACCTTTTAAAATTCCATGCAGCGGTTATCAATATGGAGTGTATCGATTAGCATACATAATGATGAAAATTCAGCGATTGCCGAATAAACAGAAAAGAGAATAAACACATTGCAGAGGCCATTTACCATGACAAGAAAACCATTGCAGCAAACTTAAAGTAATCATTAAACTTTCTTTCAGAGCAAAATTTGCCCTGGCTGGAAAATAATTTGAAAATGGACATAAAGAAAACTAACCCCACAACAAAAGAGCGTGAAAAAATTTCCACACTTTCCCTTAAAACAAAAAAAAATAGCCAACAGACAGTTTAAAGAGTTAATTAACGCAATTAAACAGAAAAAAAATACCGATTTGTTTTTTGAAAACATCATCGCGACCTAATTAAGAAACCGAACTACGTTCACCGACTCTTAAAAACAATTAACGAGGAGACGAAGCTTCGCTTCGCAAACACTAGTGAGAGCACGACAAAAAGTAGCTCTCTAAAGTGCAATAAGAAAAAGTAGAAATAAGCCTCGAATTAATAAAAATTCGGTTACATGTCGGATTCGATCTGCGACCTAGATATAATGAGTCTCCCGCACTAACCACTTAGCCACAAACGCTTAATATGACATAAACAATAGTCACAAATAAAGCAGAGAACAGATGCTATGAAACTTCCAATGCTACAGATCGTGATTACAGCAAAATATATCAAATAAGTGAACACTTTTATTTGCGAGTTAGGTTTGTACTAATACACTAATGCTCTCAAGTTTGATCAAATTACGTTGCCGCTCAATAGAAATGTCATTAAGGTAAAAAATTATGGCTAACAAGCTTTTATCATGGTCATTGCTTCTTCCATTTGATTTTTACGATAAAACAGATGTATAAAAGTTAATTTAGTTTGAAATATGGCTCTTTTTCCTTTCCCCCCACCTCGCACGAGCATCAATTTTTATGCTATAGCGGGTGGTTTTACAAGGTTGTTTATGAAGACCAAATATGTTTGCCATGGCCTTATTAGTCCGTGTGCCAATTTTCATAACAATTGAATAATGTGAACAAATTTTTCATTTATAAAATTTTGCAGTGGGGGGGGGGGGGGGAGGGGAGAGGAAAAAGAGCCGGAAATATGCCAGTAAGGAGTTTGTTTCGAAGCTATATTCGCATTTCAATTTCATATCCTAACTCTATCCTTAAGTTCTAAGCTTGAGGCATGAATGAACGCCCTGACATCGTCTTCTTTTCACCACCTTTCTCCTCGTTAGGTAACGCCCGATTGAGCACTTTGATGAAATGACTACTTTGCGCCCTCATTCTCGAATGAATATATGCCTTGGAACACTTGAGATGATAATGCAGATAGTTTCTGAAGCTCAGACACAGTTTGATAGCATTCAGCTGCTTCGCTTCGCCTGTGATGACCTGCTGACGAAGCGAGATCACGACATAAGCAGCACGACTATTGTCGTAACTTGAGAATATATCCGCCACTTCATTCGGTGGTTTTCCAACGAAGGCACGAACGCCTGGACCGGCAACACGTGTCTCTGAGAACTCCTGGATGAACACTTTTCCAATTTCGAAATCATCGTCATCGTCAAATTTGGTCCTGTAGGTCAGTTCAACTTGGTCAGCTAGAACAGCATTTTAATCAAATTAACATAGCCAACAGGTAGAAAGAAACGGTCAAGGAACTGAAGGACAAAAAAAGCAAATGATTGACTTGTTTAGCTAAATTTTGAAATTAAAAGTAAATGAAAATTTTTTATTCGAAAGCGGGCCCGGTTTTGCTTTTTGCTCATGAATTTAAATGGATTTTACAAAAAATCAGACCTCGACATAGAGGCGAAGCTGCGCTTCGCAAACACTTGCGAGAACACGACCAAAAAGCAGCTCTATCAAGTGAAATAAGAAAAAGGGGAAATACGCCCCGAATTAGCAAAAACTCGGCTTCGTGTAGGATTCGAATCTGCGAACTAGCAAATTTGAGTCTCACACACTAACCACAGATGCTTAAAACACCAATAACTAGCCAGCAATAACGCAGTTACATATTCTAATGAACTGCCAACTCGATGAAGCAAAAGTAGCATCAAATACAAAAAGAGACAATTTTGCATGTAATTAATTGGAAAGCATAAAGCCAAATTATGTATAAATTATGCATTTCAACAAAAAAATTGCGAGACACATTGAGTTGAAAAATTTCTGAAATCGAGCTTTTTATTATTGTCCTGCTGTTATAATTTTTGTCCTGCTGTTATAATTTTTTGGTTCATTTCATGAATTAAAAATGCATCAACTGTGTTAACTTTTTTACTAATCAAATGTTAAAGCAAATATGACATTATACTATACTGCTACAGCAGCCTACCGTTCGAAGTGCCACCAAAAGTAAGACTTCTATTTGCGACTTAGGTTGGAAAAAAGAAGAGTCGCTTATGGACCGCATACCCCAAACACTAAGCAAAAATCGAAGTATTGCCAGAAATCCAGATTATTAGATCTTCCTTATTTTACCCGTCACATAACACCAAATTATATTCCTAAATTTTTGAAATTTTCAAGATTAGCTGAAGGCACATGCATCTCATATGCACTATCGAATCCTCTCGCCATAAATTTAAGATTGAATAGAAAACATTTTTGAAAAAAAAAAGAATTGTTTTTTGAAAAATTGCAAAATCTGAATCAATCCAAAGTTTCGGTTGATGAGAAATCTAAGCTTTCAATTTCGGTAAATTTGCTACAGCTGAAACGATGATTCAAATCATCCGGACAAAATTTGAAATTTAAAATGCAATTTTCACAAACTGGGTTGGCATTAGACAAAAAATGATAAGACAAAACTAGATAAAAAAGTTGGCTAAAATAATATGGTGAATTTTTTACTGCTAAATTCGGGCAAAAATCTTGCATAAAAAATAATCCTGTTTGGCCTTTTAGTCGGTAAAAAATTACGCCAGAACTACCTGATAAATTGCCTCGACAATTATATCAAAGTGAGCCACTTATGTAGACCAACAAAATTTAACTAAATTTATGTTTCGTTTATTAGCCAAAAATTTTCCTTTTTACAAAAACAAGCTAATACTTTTTTCATTAAAACATGTTATCCTTTCCTTAACTTTCTTGGGCTATATGAGAGGAATTTTGATATAACTTCGAAAACAATTTATCTCCTAGTTCTGGCGTAGTTTTTGATTGACTAAAAAAGACAAAAAAATGATCAGTTTTGTTGTGAACATGTGGACCCGATATTCGCAACAATATTTTACATCACAACAAGTTTGCAAACATAGCCAACTGACAGTTGGAAAATAGTAATGGTTGCACAGAAACTGAAAAAAACGACGTGTTTTCAAAAACCTTCAACTTCAAAATAAATGGCCTTAAACTTTTTTGAGTTTGTAGAACAAATTATGATGGACACTTATATGTTAAAATTAATCCAATTTGAGAAAACCGGATCAATATGTAAAAGCTTTTATTTCGCTGGAAAATCTGATAACTAATTTCCATTTTCGAAATTAGAAGTCGATCACGTTTCTCGTGACCTTTACAATTTTACTGTTCGATAGTGGAGTTTGCTTTCCTTTCAACTATAGAAATACACTGAACTTAAAAAAAATCACAAGTCAAACCGCAAAAAATCAAAACTGAGCGTGAACAAATTTTGAGATTTTTTCCTGAAAAAAAATCAGCAAGACCTATAAAAGAGTGATTACTTTAATTTTAAAAACAAGTTTTGTCTTTATCATTTTTTTTCTAATGCCAACCCAATATGGGAAAAATGCGTTTTGAAATTGAAGTCTTCTTTTGTTTTGTCCCCGTAACATAAATCAGCACTGCACTGTACAATGATATTTTTTCGGTAATCGCTTAAATCCAGTTTGTTCTCAGATTTGTAAAAAAAAGGTAACATATCAGTTTTGAACGCTAGATGATTAGTTAGAAACAATAGGTAGGGAGCAAGAATGAAGCAATTCTTCCTTTGAACAAGTAACTTACTTCATCTAGGCTGCAGTTTTTTTCGATTTCAGATTACGAATAACATTGATTATACCGTGCAGTGAACTATCAGCAAGATACATTGACTGACTTACATTTTCGAACTTAAAATAATATTAACATTTTCAATAGCATTTGCCAGCTTTGAGCTGATTGAGGTTAAAATTAAATCATTGCAGGTATATGCTTTCACTTAAATCTGCTAAGTCTTTTCCCTTGTCACTAATAGCTGCAATTCCAGATGCTCGTGTAATTTTGCAGGCTATTTTATATAAAATTGTTAATTATTTTAATGATATTTCGACCTTTTTTCGCTCGTGAGTAAACATCATCTTTTATGCACATAACTTTATCACTTTTCCACAATCTACGAAACTGTTTTCCCTTGACGACAGCCTTTAAACGTCTTCATCTGCATTTTCATCAGCTGACATCAGTCTGCATTTAAACGTATTCGCTGTTTAGTCTGTATTTTAAAGATGTCTTATCTGCATTATCATCATCTTCTGTACATACACTGAGACAAACTTTCGATCTTTATAGTCAAATTTCGTGATAGGGGTTGGATAATGAAACCTTTGGATTGTCAAATCTTTAGTTGCTACGCTTCATTACTCGATAGTCGAAGTCACGCTCAGACTTTGAAACTACTCAATAAGTTTATCACAACAATTGGCTGTTGTTCACTTTCACATGTTCGAAAGGGCAAAATTAATTAATGTTGGAAAACATACCTAGAGGTCTAACATAGATGGCCTCATCTGTTCTGATTTTGATCAATTGGGGTTGAAGTGGCTTCGGATTCTCCTCGAACACCTCTTTGAAACATGGCATCAGATAGGCTGCGAACACGTGGTACTTTATATCGGCCATGTCACTGATCAGCTGGTCTGCACTTGAGAGTGACTTGATGGCGTCACTCTCAAAGTCCAGCAGAATGTTGATGTCGTGAGTCGCTCCGTCACCACTCTCCTGAAAAAAAAACAGTTTTTCAAAAAACAATTATAAATTTAAACGTTTTATGTCTCTTCACCTCGAAGATACCTTACACAACTAGAGCTTAAGCTTCTTCAAATCTGAATTGAAAACTAAGAGAACGGAAAACTTTTATACTTGGGTTTTCACTGTTTTTGTCTATTCAAATGGTTGGCGATATCGATTCGCACTCGTTATAAAAATATTTCAAACCCCATTTTTCCCAAAACAGAGACCATTTTTTTTCTAACCAAGCTCACTCGACGCTTTCTGAGGTTTATACGAAGTGACTGATTTTTCGTGTTTAAAATTACTAGTGTTCGAAGCCTTCTTTAACCAAAATGTGTTCACACTCGTGTACTCCAGCCAAAAATATGAGGTCAGACAAAAAAGATTGATGGTATTAACCAGTGATGTCCATTTAAAAAAAATAAAAATTGAAATTTTAATTAAAATTGTTTAGGAAAATTATAAAAATTGTTGGCATCAATTAAAATTTTTTGTCGTGAAAATTAAGATTGCTTGCTTTTTCCGCAGAACTGTGAACTTAATTATCATGAGTAAATTCTGTACTTCGGCGGGCTCATAATTTCACATTTAAATAAATTTAAATGAAAATTCAATTTAATTAAATTTGTTTTTTTTAATGGACATCACTGGTATTAACTCAAATTACGTTGATTATTTCATTTTAATTTTAACAAATTGCTGACAGAAGAAGCAGCTATTGTACTCGGGGTTCAAAAACCAACCGATAATCAGGAATATTTAGAGAATATATTTGTATATCGCAGGAATAATAAATTGAAGTAATTCGCTGTTGATAGTAGCGGTTTCTGAAATTTTGTTGCTTTATGCCAACTTCATTAAAAAATCATGAAATTCAAATTTTTATTCTAATTATCAAATGTTCAAAAACGTATCTTTTTTTGTTCAATTTATCAAACGTCCAGAAAAAAAAACATTTGGCAAGGATATTTCTAACACCCAACGATAAACCGATTGACCAATTCATTTATTTTCCGACGTTTTAATTCACTATTGAACGAGTTCAAATCTCAATGCTGAATGAAGTTATGTCAAATCTTCAATTCATTTATTTTTTCCAATTACCGTCAAAAAGGGAGCGTACGAGTACTTGGCTAAGTATTCCTTCACATTCACATCCGACCTCTCCATTATGACCTTGAACCCGGTGACGTCAATCCCGACCATGACCTTGTTCCGGTCAAGCGGGTTTCCGATGTTGGTGATATTGTACATTAGACCATCGTAGTCACAGAAGGAAGCCACTATCAGGTCTGGTTTGGATGACTTGCTGAAACGCCGGGTGAGAATGTCGCGCAGGATGTTACTACCAGTATCGAGGATCAACATTGTTCTACTATAGCTATCACAGATCTGAAAAACAATACCGTAGCAAACATAGCCAACTGATAGTTGGAAAAGAATAATGAACAGAAAAAAAAAACACTGACTTTGTTGAAAAAATCTCAACTTTCGAATCTCAAACAAAAAATTAGATGCCCTTTAAGCTCTTTGAATTTCTAAATAACTTACGACTGGCGTTTTTTTTAAATAACATTAAGCCAACTTGAGAAAACTGGATCAATAGGTAAAGTTTTTATTCCGCTGGAAATCTAAAAATTAAATTCCACTTTCGAAACCGTTCGCGTGAATTAAATTTCCATGTTCACGTTTTTTCTCGCCATTTCCACGTTCGTACATGGAGAGTGCTTTTTACGATGAATTTCAGATGAATTTCAATTGAACTCAAAAAGTGCATATATATATATCTAAGTGCATTCATAAATTCATCAAGGTGTACGAATGCACATCTGTAGTTATTAGAGCATTTTAAGGCTTTTCCTGGAAAAATAAAACGAAAAAAACTCACCAAGACCTATATAAGAGTCTTCGCTAAGCTCATTACTCTTAATAAAAGTCGCAAATATCAATTGCCTGCTTTCACAATTAGATTCAGTGATAATTAAAAAAACAAAGTTGACAACAAATATTTGCGAGTGATAAACAAAACAAGGTTTGTTGTTTCTGATTTTCGAAGAAATTTCTGTCATCAGCAATCTATCCGACAAATACCCGGCCCGAACTCTGCAGCTGCTGGAACAATCGGTTCTACGTCCGTATAGGATAAGTCGTCTCTCGTCTATGCCTTCCGTCAATGTAAACTAAAGGTGATTTTGAGTATAAAACTCAAGTTCATCTAAACAAAACAATGTTAAAATGATGATGTAACAGTTTTTCATCATTGCAAAACAAAAAAACTGTCAGAAAAGTTAGTGACACATGTTCTAAAATAACTTTTGACAAACTATAAATCTAATTAGGGCACGGTGCACGAACTATAACGAAATCTATTTATACCTGCTACAGGCGTTACTTAACAAGCCAGCTAAACGCCTCCGAAAAAAACTAGTTTTAAGCGGTTATAAGCAAGCCTCAAGTGAATATTAAGCTATCTATTATTATATTTGTTTCAAAAATGAATTTTTAGATCACAGCGCAAGAAAAAACCCAACGACCTATTTTTCTCAAATTGGGTTAGTTCCGCTTCGAGCGATCTCTCATCCCCCCATTGCTACGTGGGAGTGAGGGAGAGGGGGGGGGGGGGTTGTGGGTGAGAGATTGTCTAAAACTAACCCAAACTGAGAAAAATGGGTCTTCAGTTAATTTTTTTTCTTGCGCTGGTCTAAAAAATTATAACAGATGTGTTCAAAACTGAAGTCATTCACATATATGTACTTTGATTATTGTAGTTTCCGCTATTTGCGTACTTTCATTATTGGAGAGCGTAATTTTTCTTTTTAAGCAACTAAATTTGAACTCAACTTGAAAAGAAGTCAAAATGTAAAATTGCGACAAATTAAGCGTGAAACAATTTTAGACTAGTTTCCTGAAAAAACCACAGGACGTTTTCAAGTACCTTCACTGCTCTAAATTGACGCTAAATCAAAGACTGATTAATGTTTTTCACGTTGTTTCACCTCTACTTTACTTCAATAGTTCAGTACCTCATTTTCCGTTCGATCAGATGGTAAAAAACAGCCGTTACTTTTTATATTGGTGAGGAATAATAGAAAGAACCAATTACGATCGACATGATTAGTGGGTTATCAAACAATCACTCCAAATTGTAACAGCAATTAAATTTACTCCTGGCAGCTTTAGCAGCCCCCACTTTCTGCAAGAAAAAAACACATGATGGCTGCATGTTTCCGTGACATATTTGAAAAACTAAAGCAATATTTGAACCAATAGTGCAGTATCTTTTCTAGAACAATAAAAAAACCAAATTGAAAATTAAAACTCAGGTTTTAGCGTGAATCTTGTTCTAATGTGTGCGTGTATTTTGATCGAGTTTGTCTTATGTGCTTCATACTAAGTGAAATTCATTACTAGGTACCCGAGGGAGGATATAGTTAAAGCGATCCCTCGTAATTAGTTAACATCTCGACACTGAGTATCTCGACTTGTTCACAAAATTTCTCGAAGCAATATAGATGTGAGTATAGTAAAACAACAAAGATGCTACAACATACAATTCCCTAAGTACCATTTAACCAACACATGTCAGTATTACCAAAGTAGCAGATTGGAGCATAACTTTTTTACATACAAGTTCCCGTATGAACGATCTGTGAACAATTTTTTTTTGGTTTAAATTCTATGAAATGAGGGTTGGGGGACAATACTGGAAAAGAACCCTCCCCCCGCCCCCACTAAGAACGTACTTAACATATTGATGACATTCTCGTCGTGTTTCTCTGTCCTCGTCCACAGACTCTTTGCTTCTTTCGCCGCTTCCACGTTCAGCTCATCCACTGACTTGTTGATTTGAGAAAAGTCATTTACCACCAGGATGGTTTTTAGCTGGGCCGTTATCTCCGTCAACTTTTCACAAGCTCTCACAATGGCCAAAGTCCTTGCCTAGAAAACAAGTTCAGATTAAACAACAATGATAGCCAGTTTCTTTGCAAGTAGCTCATAGTGTATCACGGGAGAGCTGTTGTTGTTTTGCGCAGGTTAATAATTAAATGCAAATTTCGGAAATTCATTTTAGCGCTGGCAAATGCTCTAGAAACCTCGAGCAACTAATTTTTGCCATGGTGGGCCTCAAACCAGCGCCGCTTTGATTGAACGTCGCTCGGCATGTTGAATTTTTAAAATTATATTGGGCACGGCGACAATTCAACGCAAGCGACAACTCGTAGCATTTAAAATAAAGCAACAATTCGCACTATCCGTAGCAAGCAACCACGATCCGTAGCAAGTAAAATTTCAAGTGAAAACATGACATTAAATAGAAGAAAAACGCAAGGGATGTTACTATTGAAAGTCGTGCATTTACCCAAACATGTATCTTTAGCTAGAACTAATCTAGAGGAGCTACCGAGCCTGCGCTCCCCTCAATAAAAAATATTCCTGAGCATTTTGAGTTTTCTGCTTTTGATTCCCAAAGCTTGATTTTCAGATTTTGATTTCTAGAGCTTGATTTCGAAATTGGTATTAATGAGTTTGGCAGTGAAATGTGCAAATCAGACGAATCCCACTATTGGACCATGTAGATAACTTCGAAACAAAAAGGGAGGGAACAATTCTTCGTTAGCTTGTGGAATCAATTCGAGAAAATTAGAATGGGACACAAAAGACCAACAACTCAGTTAAGGGCTGGAACACGGCTTTTTAGATGGGAGTGTGATGTACCTAGACCACCATTCAGAAAATTATTCAAATCTAGAGAAACAAAAAAGCATGCTGGAAAATAAGCTCGCCTTATTAGTCCGAGAAAGTGTTACCAAGGTGTCCAAATTGAAATCCCACTCGCGGTTAATTGAGCTGCTAAAGCACTATAAAATTGATAACCTTCTTAAGCAACTTGAGGGTCTTTCTTTAAATTTTAATTTCCAAGTTCATTTATTTCTTTGATCTGATCAAATGTTGCTGCCGCTAATAATTGTCGCCTGCTACAAATAGTCACTTTTTTTAAGTGCTACGAGTTTTCGCCTCGCATCATATTGCACGACTATGAAAGAAAAACAATTAAAAACACTGAAACGAAAATGCAATTAGCATTGAACAGCTCAAAAACGCCCCCAATCCCCCCCCCCCCCGCACCCACACACTTGAACAAAACAAAATTTCAATATTACTAGCAGGTAACGCACCTCTGGTGCTTCAAACAGATTAGTAAACATGAAAATTGCAGATAAACATCACAGAAATTGGGACAAAACAGCGGAATGGATGTAACCGAAAATTAGACGGGGAAATCCAACAACGCTTCTGATTTCATGAACGATAAAAGAAACTTTGACTAGAAAGTTCAAAACTCCATAACTACTGAATTTCAGATAAATGAAACCCTAAAATAGCCGACAGCATACAACTGCACTTTTCATACTAAGAAATTGAAACTATCAATCGCTAAATTATCAAATTCATAAATGGGATTCATAATCCATCGTAATTAATTTTAAAATATCAGACTCTGTTTTTTCTTTCATTAATAGTTAACCCCACCAAAGCGTCGACAATTTCAGAATTTGAAAAGCGTTATTTGAAAGATAGAAACGTCTTAACTAAGAAAACAAAAGGCGTTGAACAGTCATAACTGGAGTCCAGACAAACATCCTGAGAGTACATTGAGAGCACCTCGCCATAGTGTTGAGTATTTCGAACTTGGAAATCACGTTAGATCTTAAATTTTTATGAAATTTTTGAAAAAGCATCAAACTAAAATTCAGAAACTAATTCAGAAATTTTGAAGCAAGATCTGCGACCTCTGAGAGTACCCAGAGGGCAACCCACTGCAGGATTGGGAATTTCTGAAAACTTCTAAAAGAATATTTCTAAAAGAATCATCTAAATTTCTAAAAGAATCATAAAAATGTCATATCTCGGAACGTAAAAAGATTTGAGCAGTCACATTTGGATGCAATATTTGCAAAGACGGAGGGTATCCTGACAGCCCCTTACGCTATAGAGTTGAAAATTTCAATTTTAAATGAGTTTTTTATATCTCAATTGATTGATTTTTTTTGGAAAAAACTTAAAAACGTCAATCTCGGAAACTAAAAGGATTTGAGCAGTCATATTTTGTTGCAAGGTTTGAATCCCCTGAGAAAACCCTGACAGCACCTAATTTCAGGGTTGAGTTTCAAACTTTGTCAAGTATTCATATAATTTCTTTGAAAACTTTTTTTAAAAAAAAATCAGAAAAAAGTCATATCTCGGAAACTAAAAGGATTTGAGCAGGCACATTTGGATGCAATATTTGCAAAGACGGAGGGTATCCTGACAGCCCCTTACGCTATAGAGTTGAAAATTTCAATTTTAAATGAGTTTTTTATATCTCAATTGATTGATTTTTTTTGGAAAAAACTTAAAAACGTCAATCTCGGAAACTAAAAGGATTTGAGCAGTCATATTTTGTTGCAAGGTATGAATCCCCTGAGAAAACCCTGACAGCACCTAATTTCAGGGTTGAGAGTTTCAAATTTTGTCAAGTATTCATATAATTTCTTTGAAAACTTTTTTTTAAAAAAATCAGAAAAAAGTCATATCTCGGAAACTAAAAGGATTTGGGCAGGCAAGGTTTGCAACGACTGAGAGTGTCTTGACAGCAACTCAAACTATAGAGTTAAGAATTTCAAATTTTGTTAAGCTTTTTTAAATCTAAGTAATTTGAATTTTTTTGGAAAAAAAAAACAAAAAACGTCATATCGCAGAAAATAAAAGGATTTGAGCAGTCAATTTTTGAGGCCAGATTTGCAACCACTAAGAGAATCTTGACAGCGCCCAACTACAGGGTTGAGAATTTCAATTTATGTGGAATGTTTTACATCATAGTTATCAGAGAATTTTCGAAAACGTCACAAGAGTCATCAAATCTCGTAAACTAAATAAGATTTGGGTGTTCATATTTGGACTAAATTGCAACCCCTAGGATAACAATGACAGCATCCCACTTTTGGATTGCTAATTTCAGACATCACAAAAAACATTGAATTCGATCTGGAAAATTGAAAAAAAAATTAAAAATAGCAATATATGATCCTTTCATTGATTTTTTCGAACGTACAAATATTCTTTCGTTGAAACACGCAAATATAATACGCTGAAAAAGCTTAAACATGGCGAGATAGTGAAGCCCGCATTTAAATATATAATAGATAGAAGATAAAATATGGTAATATATGAACGAGGTTATATATGAAGACGCATTACGCTTGGCATAGCTTATTCGGTCAGCTAGTTAGAATTCCAGATTTTGTAATAATTCGACATTGTGACCCAGCGTATTCGAACTAAAAAGGAAAAGAGGGAGAGTTGGGACGCTCAAAACTCCCCAGTAGCACAAAACGGTGCTTTATATTTGCTCTGTTAACGAGCATGAAAAAATGAAACTATTGAAACATTGGTATACGCAATTACGCTTTTTGCATTGCAAAATAACCGCTCAAAAAAATTGCAAAAAAATTGTCATTCCACAGCCTATGATCTATTGTCCAACCGTACCCTTCTATATAATTTATGGTTTGCATTGCACAGAGAAACTATTTTCATTCAGCTCACGTTTCACAAAACTTTTAAAAACTTAACCAGCATCAACTCTAGTTGATGACATCATTGATGAGTAAGAGACACATTATCTTTCAATAACACAGAGACTACTTTCAATTGGCTATTTAACCTCCCTCAGCTCACACGAGCATCAATTTTATGGTGTAACGAGTGGTATTAAAAGGTTACATAAGAGAACCAAATATGTTTGTCATGGCTTCATTAGTCCGCATGTCAACTTTCATAACAATCACAATCGGACGATTTGATCAACTACTTGTAAAAATTTGCAGGTGGGGATAAAAGAAAAAGAGCATTTGAATTAAACTCTTTTTTTATTTCCACCCAATTGCAATGAATAGGGAGTATTCGTAGAAAAGTAGGATCTTGTTAAGTATTCCCCCTTCCATGGTACCTTGAACGTACCTCCCTCTCCTCCCCCCCCCCTTACAAAGAAAAAATTGAACGGTTAAGCATATACGAATTTTGAGCCTTGATAACTATCCCCCTTATTGCAATAGAAGGAGGGGAATATTTAACAAGATCCGAAAGGTATTAGTTCACATATGCTTAACCGTTGCATGAGTTCTTTATAGGGGGAGATTCGAAACTAGCCGCCATAGAAGAAGAAGGAATAGTTAAATAGAACCCTTTCAAAATATTTTCAAGGATTTTAAATCGCCCTCTCAACCTGTCTCTCCTTTCTGATTAAGGATATGATTTAGATTATAACACAATGTACGACTTCAGGAGTTTAGTCAGCAATAAAACATGGTTTACCAATCACGTTCCTTCACACCAGCTTGCTATAAAATTAAGTTGCAACATTAGTATAGAACATCAAAACATCCAAGCCACTAAATACTGTTGACCAACAAACACGATAAAATATTCAAAGTCACAACCTGAATCTCGAGATGTTCTTGTTGTACAATGGCCATGCTATTCAGCAAACTAGTTTCATTCGTGACGTCAGCCAACTTGGTTAATTCTAGAAAGTTCTCAGTGGTCGCCATTAGATTCTCTTTCAATTGCTGCTCCAGGTTAGCTAATTGTGAAGGTCCACCAGATCTTTTCTGGATGGCCGATGACGACATGGCAAAATCTGAAAGTTGGAAAAATATCGGTCCAGATTTTTCAAATCTAAAAAACAGTGATCACCGTCTGTCAATTTCGAATGCCATGTATAAAACAAACAAATTTCATTAAATAGTGATTGAAAAACATTTTCGCTACATCTTTTTTTTCGCATAATTACAAAACGAAACAAGGATAGCCATAGCCGGTTACTGTGCAAGTAGCACATATTGTTCCGACCAGTCTTAAAAAATACCAAAAAGTTTTCTGAAATTTGTGTCCTTTTTTTGCATGTTGTGATAAAAAAATCTGAACGAAATAATAGAACTTAGGCATAAGTGAGAGTCATAGTAAAATAGGTCAATTGAAAAACAGTTTTTGAAGAACAATGACTACAAAAACGAAATAGAAATTTGAAACAAAATTGCTGAAATTTTTTTGAACTTTCAAGTTTTTGATTCCCAAAATTGCGCTAAAAAACTCAAAAAACTAACTTTACTTGAGTAGAACTAAGTTTTTACGGCTTAAATTAAGCTTAAATAAGCTATTGCAATTACTAATTAGCTTGAAATTAGACCAAAAATCAAAAATGTCCAACCGGTTTTTCTCGACACTGAATTTTTTTGAAATTTTTCAATCTCGTTCGAATCACGACTGGAAGGGCTTTAATATGATATATCACTCAACCCTGTCCGATCATTAATTGTGGTAGCTGATTTTGCGTGGAAAATAAAAAGTTGAAAAAAACGAAAACACCCGAATACAAAGTTCCTCCCCATTTTCAATGGTCGGAACAAAAAGAATAGCCAGTTGCTGTTCATTAGCACAGAACATTCCGAATAAATTAAAAACACACAAAAAAAAACATTTTATTTCAGCAAATTTGTGGGTGATTTCAGTTTGAGTTTATGCTCAAACATGATATTTCCATGAGAAAAATTCCACAATGTTTACGGAACCACATTCATCGAAAAGTGCAAATTGTGAGGGGAAGAGAAAAACTTCAACCACAAAAGCAAGACTAATTTGATGCGGCATCTGGAAATTTTGCGTCCAACTCAATTCAATGTAGAAACGATCCTATTGCTCAGGACAGATCCCCTTAGAGGTGAGGTTGGATTTCAACAACTAGAAACGTATCGGAAACAGAACAATACTGAGTATATTCTTGAAGACATAATTGAGAAGGGTGAATTACCAGTTATACTAACAGAGTGTGATTGCTTTAAAGAGTTTGAGCCTCGATATACGCATCCTACGTATCAAACAATTTCGAATTAAAATTAGATTCTACAGTGACAGAGATGAAAAACTTTTAAAGACTTTGAGCCTCGATATACGCATCCTACGTATCAAACAATTTCGAATTAAAATTAGATTCTACAGTGACAGAGATGAAAAAGTTTTTCGAAGGATTAAGACAAGTTGACTGCAATCAATCGCAAGTCTTGACTACGCTGTAGCGCTACAATCATTGAAAGTCGACTCAAATTGAACATGAAGCTTTTCTCCTTTGATGAAATCATAAGAGGGCGAGATGCGCATTCACTCAGGACTGCTACTCGGGACGCATTTGATGAACGCTGATTTGTTCAAAAACCGTACTGCTTTACTACAGACAGCTGCAGCGTCATGAAAAAAAGCGTTCGAAGCTATCCAAATTTCCAGCGAAGGATACGATTATGAAATCACTGACGACTGATTCTTCATTTTAAAAAGAATGTTCAATCGCTCGGCTGCGCTACGCATCGTCGTCAAACAAAAGGCAGGCGGGGGAATGGAGGAAGGTGAGGTGTGTTAAAACTGCGCAACTTGATCGCCAGTCTTAGAAACTCAGCCAGCTTCTTTCGAAAAAGAAACAATAGCGTAGTAAAGCTTGCTGGAATTCAACTCTTTTTATGATTGAGTCAAATTTCAGTCAGCCAGACAAAATCGAGTCTGCTTCCGGATTCGTGAAGAGCTGTTCCTGAATTTCCGCGTGAAAATTCATACGAAACGCTCTACGATGTTCAACTATCCAAATTGATCAAAAAGTGCTAAATGTGAAGGACACGATAACCTTCAAAAAGAAAACCGAGACTAATTTGAAACAGCAGTTGAACTTTTGCATCCAACTCCAATCAAATGTGAAAAAAAAAAAATCTATCGCGCAGGACAGAGCCTCTAAGAAATCTGGTGAGATTTTAATCACAAGAAATTTATTTGATAACAACGTTACTCAGTAAAATATCTACGACACGCTGGAGAAAGGTGGATCACCAGATAAACTAATCGAGAGGGATTGCTTTAAAAACTTAAGAAATGTCTTTGAGCCTCGATATTCGTGACCTACGCCTACGTATCAAACAATTTCTTATTAAAAACAGAGTCTACAGCAGAGATGAAAAACTTTCTATCCACGAGTCTGAAATCCTATATTTTTTCGAAGGTTAATGATGAGTGGACTGCAATCAATCTCAAGTCTTTCTTGCGCTGTAGTGTTGCATTAATTGATAGTCAACTCAAACTGAGAACGAAGCTTGTTTTCTTTATTGATATAAAAAGTGGGCGAGGTGCTAGTTTTTAATAATTGCAATTAATCGAAACGCATTTTAGCAATACAGAGTTGTCCAATAACAGTACTGCTTTTTACAGACAACTGCAGTGTCATGAAAAAAAAACGTTTCAAGCTAACAAAATTACCAGCGATGAAGAAGGATACGAAGAGGGTATCACCGTCGACTGCTGCTTCAATTAAAATTTCTAAACTGGCTCAGCTGCGATGTGTATCATCCGGAAATAAAGATCGGCGAGGGATTGGGGGAAGGAAAAAATATTATCACGAGTGTAAAAAATGCAATTATCAGAAAAGTCTCAAAACTGCGCAACTTGATCGCCAGTATCCGATACTAAGCAAGCTTCTGTCGAAAAGGATACAACAGCGTAGTAAAGTTTGCTGAAAATCAACTCTTTTTACGATTGAGTCCATTTTCATTCAGCCAGACAAAATCAGTCAGCCAGAGTGCTTCCGGATTCGTAAAGAGCTGTTTCTTAATTTACACGTGAAGTTCCACACAAAAAGCTCTACGATGTTCAACCATCCAAATTCATCAAAGAGTGCTAAATATGAGGGGGACAATATTCCATCGCCAACATTTGACCCGTTTATAAAATTGACGTTTTGAGATGCAGTCGATACAATGTTTAGCTTTGACATTGAGTCTTGTCGCTTAATGATACTGAACACGCTCCAAAAATACTCAAGAAGTTATTTCGTTACCATATCCAAATTGGCCTGCATCAGAAAAACTAACGCTAGCACAATTTTGAATTTGGTGCAATTTTGCCCAAATTATCGTTTGAAGAACAAATAACGACATAATTATTGATACCAAAAACTGAGAAACGTTTTTAAAAATTGATGACTACTTCAATTATAAGTCTGCTTGCTCGCTGCATTCGCTCGAGTTTACACTTAATAAAATAAAAAATATCGATCACGACTGAAATGGCTTTAAAGTGATATATCACTTGACTTAATCCAATGCTTTCGAAAAATAAATAAAATTCAAGGATCAGAAAAAAACACTGAAACACACCGGAAGACATAGTTTCTTCTCAATTCAAGATAAAAACAAAAATTTCATTTTTGTAAACTTATTTTCATCAGAAATTTGTAAGATTATCTCGACTTCACGCTAATTTAGCGCCAGGAATATGATTTTAAATTGCAGAAGCGGAGCTTATAAAAAAGGTTTGAAACAGAAATTGATAAGAAACAACATCAGTTATCAAATTGAACAGGAATACTTTAGACTAATTTTAGAAGCATTCTGAGCAGTAATTTTTTTTCGAATTTTACATTACAAAAAACATTTGTTCAAAAATTGAAGGATGATCGATGCAGGGGCGGATCTAGGATTTTCTCGAGGGAGTGGGGAATTTTGTCGACCTTTTTTAAGTCGACCAAATTGATATTCTGAGCTCTCCTACATCACTATGACCCCACATTGACCAAAAATTTGAAAAAAAACGGCCAAAAAAATGCGTTTTTAGGCAATTTTTGAAACGTTTTGACCAAAAGATCGCATTTTTTTCGGCGCGCGCTCCCCCCTCAAAATTTGAATATATTGGCGCCAAAGGCGCCTTTAGAAAAAGTTCAAGGTCAGTCAGCCAAAAATTGATATCCCAAAATAGTACAAAGGGGGACCCTTTGGGTCGGCAGAGGGTCGAATCCCTGAGGGGGCGTCCGCCCCCACCCTAATCCCGCTGGTGGATTAATGTATTTCAGGCAAAACTTATTTTAAAGATACTCTCTTAAGACTTTTTAGCCCCACAAAGGCCTCCAGTAATATATCAGACAGCTCATATCACTTAACAAGCTAGCCGGCTGCTGTGCTAAAGATGTTCTGACCACACTGATTGAAAAAAAAATCAAATGAAACTCGGAAGCAAACATTTTTCTGAGAATCTAATCTGCCTGACTGCTTTATACGGTTTACACATCACCTAAACGAGAAAATCATGCATACGTATAAAGCGGATAAAACACAAGCTTAAGTTGCAGTTAAAACAAGCTAAATTGGGCATAAAGGTAAGTTGGAAAAAACACTGGCTGCTGTAAAAAAAACTCTTTCTGTATTCTTCAAACTTTTCTCAAGTACATTGAGCGCTGGTATAGTGACGTTACCAACTTAGTCGGGACAAAACTGAAAATCCAACTGATTTATTCAAATGCTATAAATATATATTTACAAATATACTGCCGTTTTACTACACACTTGGTAAAATTAATTGATTAAAATATTAGCATCTACAAACTTAACCCACCTCGAATCAATTACATAATCCTGAATGGAACTTTTAAGTTCTTCTTTTCTTCTCTTTTCTCTTCGTAGAGCCACCAGATCCGTTTCGCTTATTTTCATAAGGAAGCAGATGAGTATCCATAACTAGACAGTCTATTTGCATTAAATATAGGCCTCGGTCCGAATTCGCAAACTCCGTGTTGTATAGCCCCTGATTTCCATGAGATCTCGAA